ATGGGAGAGGGGCTACTATTGAGGGATTAGGTGGAAGTGTATTGGTTGAAGTGGTGGACGATGGAAGAGGGTTGTGAGTTTGGTTTGGTTGTAAAGTGGTAGGAGTAGGAGATCAGTAGCAGTTTCAGTGGTTGTCTGAGATAAGTAGGAGAGTGCTGGAAGGTGAATTGGCTGGGTTTTCACCTGAAAGATGAGTAAAGCAGCAAGTGTTGGGGGCAGAGGCTCCACAGCAGGAGAGGAGTTCGGTTGTTGATGAGAGGTGGAGTTTGGGCTGGGAGAGTGAACGAGAGCTGCTGTAGTGGAATGAACGGAGAAGGGGAGGAAGGGAGTTGCGTCAGACTGTGATGGTATTCGGCTGCTATTACTGGACTGGATCGCTAAGGGCAGGAGGGAGCTACTTGGGTGGTTGGAAGGGAGGAGTCATATAGAGAGCTGGAACTAGAAGGGGGTGGAGTTCGGTTGTAGTCTTCTAACAGAGAGGGGGGTTTGTGGGTAGGAGAGATCGGGCAGGAAGTGATAGACGACTAGAGCAAAGATTTGAGCAGGATTTAAGCAGTGGATTTGGTCGGCTGTGCAGGGACATTTGGCAGAGGATTGGATTTGGCATAGGATTTGAACAGAAATATTAGATAAGATTCTCGCAAACCCCCTCATTTCTCGTGCATCTCGGTTTACATGCCCCCATCTCAAAATTCGTGTTGATTTCGCATTTTTGCTTGTGTAAGGAGACCCAAGCAATATTACTGTCATTTATAGGTATTTACGACATTTTGGACACAACGGTCAAGTCCCTTTTGAGAACGGCGGTATTCGGGCAACACCACGCAACATTTCGTTTGTAGTCCGTTTATTTTAATCACCCTCAACGGCATGGGCAATATTACAGCCTTTCTATACGATTTCGAACGGGCAGTGTTCAGGTAATGTCGTGCGAGATTTCATCCATAGTCCGTCAATTTTGATCACCTTCAATGGCATGGGCAATATTATAGGCTTTTTTATATTATTTTGACGTTCCGGACACAACGGTGAAGTTCGTTTGCAAATTGATGATGTTTGGACAACGTCACATAATGTTTTGTCCTTAGACCATCGATGTCGACCACCTTAACTCAATTTAAATGTGAGAGATCCCCCTTAGGTAAATTTGATGCTCTGATCACATTGGCACAATCTGTGTGTCAATCGGATGTCATTTGAGTAGATTTTGCTAGTGTCGCGCTTGCCAACAAATCACGCTCGTCATCATTTCCAACTAGTTATGCATGAACGACTCTTGTTTGGAAAATTTAGTGTCTTGAGGGCGTCTGTGTGATCTTTTTCACAATCGGATAATATTCTGAGCCATTTTGATACCAATTGAGGAGTCTCCAAGCTCGTGATAAGGGACATATCTGATAGTCGCTTTCCTCAATGCACTCGATTGATTGTGGAATATGCTTAGAGGTTAACATATATAAAGTTAGTTGTCATTTTACATTACTGACCTTCCAGACTTTAAAGCACTGTTAACACATATGAAGGTAAACCCCTCAAAAATAGAAGATTAACAATAGAAATGGGACTTTGATAATGGATAAATGGTAGAAGATAAAATTGTTGAAATAAATATAGTTAGTAATAAATGATTGCTTTTAAGAAAAAAATATCGAGGAAATCATGAATGTGGTTATCGATTATGATCCTCAGGTTAGATTCAAAGGAAGTTTAAAAATAAATTTTGGGGCGAGAATGATGAACTTCTATAATTTATATATGAAGAAGAAAGGATATTAATTGTATATAGCTTAAATGAGCATATTGGTTCTAGTAAGATGGGCTATAAAATAATTCATGGTGTTTACGAAAAAGATGGAAGTACAATGGGAACATAAATGTTTGATTTCACAATAGTAAATGACATTGCAAAAATGAATGCATAGTTTAATAAACTAGAAGAACAGTCAATTACTTACAAAATTGGAGAAACCAAAGCATAAGAGAAGAAAAAAGAGATGATTTTAAAGGAGTTTGGTCATACAATATAAAATAATACTTATAAATATGTATTTTGAGAGTACAAGGAAAACAATAAAAAGAAGGGGGGTTTACATACATAACACTTTATTTCATGCTATTTACATATTTAACACCCAAAATTTTAATATCAAATATATCACTCCTATATTTCATTCTTACCACTCATACCCTATAAACTTTCATATTTCATTTCATACACCCATATTTGTTCTATGGGTGGTAGGCATGCAATATTAAAGTTTTAGATGTTATATATGTAAATAGCATGAAATAAAGTGGTATGTATGTAAATCCCCCTAAAAAGAAATTATTATATAAGGATAAGATATGTGGAATTTAAAAGGTAAAAAATAATTTAAATTTCAAGAAAAAATGTTATGAGAGGCAAATTAAAATTCTTGAATTGAGTATAACCACGTCTGGGATAAAATTAATAAATATGTTAAGAAGATTATTATGGAAGTTTTTTGAGAGACAAAAAAGAGATCATATAGTAATAAAAAGACTTGGTGGTGAAGTGAAGAGATACAATAGGTGTTATTAAATAAAATAATTGAGCTTTGAAAGGTAGGCAGAATTTAAATATTATTGAGATATAATGATTAAGTTCAAATTCTTTCAAATTGCAGTGTGCAAAGAAAAGAAAACTATAATTTTTTATAATTTATATAATAAGCTTGATAATGAGGGAGGAGAAATTAAGATACATAGAATAACTAAGGCAGGAGATAAAGCATCTAAAATACTTTGATTAAATTAGATGAATTAGAAATGAATATAATAATATCTTAGTCAAAACAAAATCATCAATGGGATATAAAACACTATTTTAATACATTATTAAATAAGAGTTCTAAGATAAAATTATTTTAAAAAGTATAATGAGCAATATAATGAAGTACATTATAAAATTAATCCAAAAAAGAGAAGTGAAGTTAGTTTAAATGGAAATGCAAAAAGGTAATGTTTTAGGCTCATATGATATATCTATTAGGATTTGGAGAGTTATGGGGATATTGAAGTGATTTGATCAACAAACATTTAATAGAATTTTTAATGTTAAGAGAATACCAAAATAATTGGAGGAAAATTAATTTGGGGTCAATATTTAGAAACAATGATGATGCTCAAGATAGTGACAATTATAAAGAAATCAAACTTATGAGTCATATAATGAAGACATGGAGAAGAGTAATAAAATATAAGCTTAAAGTTTATGGAAACAACAACATCATCATCAAACATTTATCCCACCACATAGGGTCGGCTAAAGAATTTATGGCAATTTGATATTATTTTTATTAATCTATATAAGGCATATGATCAAGTATAATGAGATTAATTTATCGCACATCACGGAAGAAAAGTGTCAAAGATATTTTGACAATATTAAAGATCTGGATGATATAACATTGATTACATTAAATGCAATTATGAAGCAATCCAAGAGTTTTCCATTTGAGTTGCTTTAAATGTTATTTAATAGCCCAATTAATACTTAATGTTTAAATGCTTTGGCAATCTTTATTATAGGGAGTTCCTCATTTCCCATTGTTGTAGTTGAATGTGGTCATTTTTTCATGGATGGAGATCTTACTTACTCAAAAACTGTTGCTTTCAACTCAAACTCCCAAAACATGAGAGAAAACTGTTTAGTTAAATTTTATATGTTCTATGCATATGCAATGCATTCAGTTCATTTTATGATTAGAAGCTTGTAAGAAAGATTTCTCACTAAAAAGCAAGAGAACAAAAATTTTAAAAATCCAAAATGCCCTCATAGATTGCTTTATGCCACAAGTTTCCATCAATTGCAAACCACATAGATGTCAAAAGAACTAAAATGCTTAGGATTCAATAAGTTTGAGGGACTTAGACACTTAGAAAACTTTGGATTAAAATGGACGCATATAAAAAGTCCAGAAATCATTTGGGCATTTACTCGTTCTATTAACTTTGGATAAAAATGGACGCATATAAAAAGTCCAGAAAACATTTGGGCATTTACTCTTTCTATTAAAATAAAAAAATATATAGAACCTACTTTGCACAATGATGCCTTTTGAGTTGCACCATAATGCATTATTAAATGTTATTTTTGTATCTCCCATCGCCCTCAATACATTAAGCAAATATATGATTCCAAGATTTCTCCATTCTGTTCCTATAGCTTTGTTAAATATCGTGGTCAACATTTTCTAAATTGGACATGATCGAATAATAGAGCAATTTAGATACTTAATTTGCTCTACCAGTTATATGATGGAAGCCAAAAATTCATGATTAAGCACCAATTAAGCTTAGTTTTCCTAGCAATATTTCTTTTGTATTCTGTAACGCTCAGATAATGTATTAATATCTTTAGACTTATGATAAGAAAAGAGCTCCTTTTATCAATTTGTTTTCACTAAAAATGACCATTATTGTTAGCAATGAGATAAATTAACGTTCATTCCATTATAGCTGATTTCCAAGAATGAATAAAAAAATAACTGATATCTAGTTACTTTCTTATACTATTGCAGCTAAGGATAATGATTTATGCCATTGTTAATGGTGAACATTCAATGCTTATTAACAAATGGTTATTTACTCGTTGGTTACAAAAAATGGCCAATTTGCCGTTAATATTATAACCTCACAGCATATCATAGACAAAATGGATTATTATTATCAAAAAGGGTCAGTAAATATATGTTAACTCCAAGAACAAATTTTGAACTAATAACTTTACCTTCAAGGACTTGTTGTACACCATTAGATTACACTGTAGCAACCATGGAATTTTATAATATATTTTGAGGGACAATGTAAAAAAACAGTCAGGATTATGGTAGATTATAACATAAATATAAATATATATATATATATAATATATATATATATATATATATATATATGGGAAAGAAAGTGCAACTGAAAACAAATACCAACATAACCTAAAAAGGAAATAAAGAAGAAAGATGAATACAATGGCTTACCTGAATAGCATCTGGACCAGCATAAGTTCTAGGATATTTCCAATGATCTGCACCAATTAGACAGAGTCTTGCACTATCGGAATATGATTCAAAATTTGCTTCAGCAGCTAAGTAACAAGTGTGAGCAGCAGTGACCTGTACCAGGGAACAGAGTCAAAGCAAATCATATAGAATGGTTCATGAATCATAATCAAATTAGATCTACATATACACCTCTCCTCTCTCTTTCCATAGACAATCACCGAGATGGATTACAACCAACTCATCATCCTTTGTTCTATTTGCGGTAATGATGGCCAAGTTCTCCTCCCAATCATCAAGCATGTAGTTGGATTGAACCTATCGCATATAAACCCCATCAAATGAGTTCATGCAAATTTATGTTATGCCTCAAAATTGCCAACTAATATAAAGTTGTCATTCAATTCTAAGACACTTAAAGAAAAAACAATATGAATGCTAATGCTTATGAGGAGGTTCAAGAAAATTTTCAAATCAATTTGTCATAACAGAAAAGGAAAAAATCTATAACAAAATTAATACCTACATATCGAAAGTAAGAGGGTGCCTTTAAATGAGACTCTCCTCCATAAAAATAGCCCATTTACATAAGTTGAACAAAAAGGATCATAAAACAGATGAAGTGCATAGATCACCTTGGAGGGCTGTTCATCTGCATTTGCAGTGCTAGGAAAGCTACCAATGGCTGAGCTCTCTGTAGCAAACACATCAGCAGGTTGTCCCGCAATAAGAAGACACAATGTTCTGAGAGGTGATCCACAAATCAAAAGGCGATGTGCCATTTGTTTCACAGTATCAACATAAAACTGCATGGAATTGGCACAAAAACATACACTTTAATATCTTGAGAGGGGAACCAAAAGTTATTTTTCCCACTTAAGATAAATTTGAGATAGTAGAACGTTAATAAATTACAGCCAACTAGAATCTAAAGATTTGGGACAAACCTTCTCACCAAGCTGCGCAGCAAGAACAAGAGCAGGACCCCACAACTGACCTACTTGTGCGCACTGCAGGGCCTCTTTTCTTTTACCAGAAACAAGTAAATTTTGCATCTCAATAGAAGTGGCCTAAAGCAAGTGGCATGTGAATCAATATCTCGTATATTTGAAAAAAGCTAGGTTACAAATTAAATTATACCTGAATATTTGCCGCAGATGGACTGCTCTGCATAAAATGAGTAAGATGAGGAAGATCTGCTCGAGCAGATGCAAAAAGCTTAGTTACAGATGATTCTGGGCCATCATCTTCCTGTTGTTAGGAGGAAAATAGATGTGTTAAGTACCAAAAACAAATTATCAAATATTTACTAGTATTGCCGCATACACTCTATTTCACAGATCTAAATATATCAACCAACTGAAAGCTAACCACAAGCCCCATCCACAACATGGAGGAACCCAAAAATAAGCATTGAGAACAAAAAGTAATGTGCTTATCACAAAAACTATAGTTAGGTATAAACAATCTAGCGTTAATCTTACAATCTGCAAATCAAAACTATGACATAAAAGAAAATTTGAGAATAAAGCAACCTCCACAGACAAGGCTAACTGCTCTAGCATGGACAGGGAAGATAAGCATATACCATGGCATCATTAAAAAAAAAACTTCAATCAGTCTAAGCAAATCAAGCAGTCAACTGCTTGATTGAAACCAAGGATCAAATGAATTGCCTATGAAATTAACTAGCATGGCGCATATAATGATAATAGGAACGCCGCAGAATGCAGGTAATTGTGATTATTGTACATCCATCCATAAAGACACATCAAAATGTTCTTGAAGCATATACTGCATAGAGACAAAATCACAGGCACCTCCAAATTTGCACAATTACCTAACAGACAAATTTAATCCAAAAATGATGTGAAACCAACATGCGCAGGAGCTCATTTAAGAAATTTTAAGAATAGTTGACAATGAATTACTAATTAATAACTTATCGAAATAACAAGCAAGTTCATCAAAGAATCTTAGTTTTCAACTAGCTTAGGCGAGGAAGTACATGTAGATTAGCCAAAACTCCTAGGTAACCAAAGATGGTAGCAATACCAAAAGCTATTAATCAACAATCCGCAACTTAATAAAGAGAATTTTCACCTTGGGGATGGATCACTCAACTACACTAGGCTTAGCGGAAAAGTGTCTTCAGCACACCCAACGATGCCACGATGACGGTAGCAACAACAATGGCCTTGATCCACGGAAAGGTCGCCGGTGGCGGAGATGGCGGGGATGGATGGCCTTGGAGGAACCAATCGTAGTCTTGAAATTGGTCGTCTATGACGTCCACGAGAGTAGGCAAGATGCGATTAGATAGTCCTCAATAGGGTCGTCAAATCCAAATCCGACGTCGAAGAATTGCGAACGGGTGATGTGAATGTCGCCATAGATGTCGTACACGAATCCGCTATCAAGCTCAGGATCAGCCATGCGTCATTTACGCGGAGAGGGGCGGTGTGGTATTCTTCTTCTTTGACTTCACAGATTACAAGGAGAAGCAAGATGGGGGGGCGGCGGGAGCAGGAGAAAGAGGGAGCCGGCGGTTTCCAAGAGAGATCCAATGGCAATAGGTTTAATCCCAAAATCTGAAATTAATTTCAGATTTTAGTGGATTTATAGGGAAATACGAATTGAATTTAATTCAAATTTGAGGGGAGTTAAAGGGGAATTAATGGCAATTAATGGGGCCATTAAGATGGGGAGGCCGGCGGGTTCTCAAGAGAGGAGGGGTGTTGTTTCAAAACCTGAAATTAATTTCAGGATTTGAATGAAATTTGGGGGGAATTTGGTTTGAAATTTGAATTCAAATTGGTTTGGAATTAATGCCTTAAGTGAGCATTAAATGGAGAGAGAGAGAGAGAGAGAGAGAGAGAGAGAGAGGGCCTAGTAAGGCCGGCGGCATGGAGAGAGGGGGAAGAGGGAGAGATCACAAGGAAGAGGTTTCCAATTTGGGGAGATGACGTGGAAATAAATTTAAACAACTCCAATTTAATTTAAATTGAAATTGGAATTCGTGATGAAAAACTTTCCTAAATTGGAAATCCAAATTAGGAAAGAATTTGAAATTTGAAATTCGAATTTCAAATTTGAAACTTGCGGAAGGAGGGATAGCTATTACAAGAGAAATGACCCATATATATAGGTCTCAAGCATACAAGAAGAAATAAAGACTAAATTGCCCTCAGGGCTCCAACATGACTCAACTCAACATAAGGGTACAATAGGAAACATAAAAATAAAATGCATAAACAACTAGAAATATAAGCTCTGAATCGTGGCCATCGATCTGCGATGCTTCCGGCGATACACATGTTTGAACCTTGGATCGATGTCCTCATCAAAAAAAGTAGAAAGAAGAGAGAGAAACTAAAACAAGGGCAGAAAAAAAAAACGTCATGAAGCATACAAACATGAGAAAGAACTAAGAATATAGTATGAAAATAATAGGAAAATGGATGGACAGTAACAAAATGATTAAGTACTCCATTAACGGTGGTTAATTTGATAAAAAAAAAAACTCTTAGCTCTAAACAACTCAATATCCTTAGATTCCTAACAAGGTAGCGCTCTTATAATTCGTTAACATTAAGTCAGAATTGTTTACCAGGCATAGTTTTTGAATAAATATAAGCAAATGAATTGGACTAATTGCTTCAGGAAAGTCTAGACCATAGTCAAGGAATAGGCTAAGATCATGTTCAGGGATGACGAGGATATAGCATCTAGAAGGCTTAGATTTGATAATAGGTTAAGTGACAGTGACATTAATATCAAAGGGCCTGCAAAAGCATGCAGAACATAAAGAAAAGAAGAAACTAGGGAAAGTTTGGTGCTGCTTACAACAGCATAGAGTTTATTAATCAATTTACAGACTTCCAATCAATCCTTCAAAGTTGTCTATATAAGTACAATCATCAGATATTAAATATTGAAACGTTAAAGCTCAAATTAATCACTTAATGCCTCTATAAGAACAATAATAATGTGAAATACATTTACCAACCATAGTGGTGTACTTATTTGGCATTTCTAAATAAAATTGTACAAATTTAACAAATTAATTTATGTAAGAAACATGTGGAAATGGATTACACCTTGAGACAGATTATGACAAATATTATGACGCCAGGACCGATTAACAAATAACTGGCATGCAACAACTTGTATAAAACATTTGAGAATGTAAAAGTATAGCAAACATGAATGCCACACAAAAACACATAGAATGACACAAAATAGATCGAGAAAAAGAAAAGACGTGAGCAAAACAAGCAAAAATGGTAGGGGAAAAAGTCAATAGCGGGAAAGAAAGAGATAGAAAAGGATGGCAAGCGTATCCCACTGCATACTAATTTACTACATAAGTATAATCTAATTACTCACTTGAGCACCAATAATTTGATCCAGAACATGATTCTTTTTTTTTAAGAGGGGATAGAATTTACCATCTACAGGTGCCAGAGATCCATCAAATTGAGGCATGCCATTGTATCCATAATTGAAAATTGAAATAAATAAATAAATTCTGTGCTAAGAATGCAACGTTGAGACTGGCCAAAATACCCAGTACAAAATGAGACAATTAATTATTGGTATATAATTCCATTTCAGTAATCATTGGCATGTTTTGGAGGTACTAAGCCTAAGACATGACATTTCCATTGACAGATGCGGCAAAAAATGTTTTCTGAAAGCAGTTGCACGGTCTATGAGTTCCATGGCACATAGATGATGTGTTAGGAAAACAGAGCAGCATAATAAAACATTTGAGGAGAAAGAGACGGGATCAAAAGTAAATAAAAGGCAGTGTATATCCATACACCAAAATTAAATAAATAAATAAATATTAAACAAAATATCTCTTGCAAAGACAGAACATGACTTGAACAAATTTTGCCAATTGAAGGGAAGTTATATCATGAACAACAAAGAATTACAGCACAGGGAAATCATTAATGCAATTTACCTCAAGTGATAAGCCAGACCCAAATGGAGATCGAAGTTTTCCATAATGTTGACAAGAAATTTTTAGTAATGAAAGAAGCAATTTCAACATTTTCCCCTTCTTAGGGTCCATGGTAGGAGACTCGCAATGTGTTATGCTCTCATCTATCCATTTGTATACATCCTTTGTAGAAGCATTCCCACCAACAAGTGGCCCTGGAAAGGAATGATGAGCTAAAGAATGGAAATAATCACCTGCAATCTCAGCTTGATCCTTCACAACTTCCATCAAGTTGAGAATTGAGACAGCACCCTCTGAAGCTTCCTAAAAAAATTATGCATAAACATAATGGTTCATTTGTTTAATCTTCCAAAAACTTCAAATCCAAGCTCACATTAATTCAATAAGTTTAGGGTTGTTACTATTATCTGAAATTAAAACAAATAAAAAACGCTCTGAGTCTCACTTTGTTATCAAAGCCCGTGTTCATGCCAGAAGTGTTGGGATCTTTCATGACTACAAGTTTCCCACCAAAACCGAAAGTAACCAAGGCATGCGGAGGACGGCCAGCAGAGGATCTCCCTTCATTGCCAGCATAAGAGGTATTAGGATAAGATGTGCTATAAAACTGTTGTCCATGATAATTAAGTGAGTTCTCCTCAGCATAAAAGCTTTGAGACAAATGCGACTGCAGGCTTTGCTCTGCTTTAGGCTGATTAAGTTGCATGCTTTCAGCAGGAACAAAGTTCTGAAATCCAGCTGAGGCCTTACTATTGCTGTAAACACTTGGAAAAGTACTCCATGAGTTGAAACTTACTTTCTGAGACGGGTTGTTCATTTCCTGTAACTTAGGATCATAAAAATTCATCATCTGCTGGTTTCCTGAAAAGCTCATGTTGCTGTTATCATTGGCATCAAACTGATGAATATTTTGTTGAGCAAATTTATTCGTCAAAACATCCCAAGAATGTGCCAAGTTTTGGTTCCCTTGACCTTGAATGCCATTCTGTTCCAGTGGACCGACGTCGCCATAAAAGCTTGAACTGGCTTCTCCAATGAAGCCATTACAAGTGTTCATATCCCCAATGACCTGTCCTTGAACTGAATGGGATGTCTGCTGAATGCTTTGAGCATATTCATCAAGTGTATACCATTGCTGAGTATTTGTATCAAAATACCAGCCAGGATATTGCGGATCAAATACCATGTTTGGAGGGTAGCCATTGCTACTTTGAGAATGCTGATTGCAACTGGATGCAATGCCTGTTTTGCAATCCTCAGCTACTCCACCAACCATTAAACTCGAGTTTTGTTGGGAATAAGATACCTGTGCAGCTTTGCCCGAAATAAACCCACTGCCATCTCCCAAGTGATCATTTCTAAAACTTTCTTGCACATTTACATCAGTTGCATCGTAATTATCTGATTGGGCGGCAACTGCATCATTACCATCTACTTGGTACCACTGTCCAGTGCTAGCATCAAACTTCCAACCTGGGTAAAGGTTTTCCCAGTATTTAGGATCATTGGCATCGGTGGAATATCCATTGTCTGTGCCATAAATATAGGAATCTTGCTGCTCAGAAGAAACTAGATCCTCGCCATGACCAGCAACTGCGTTGTCAAAAAAATTAGACTTGAGGTCACCATTCCTGTTTTCCTGGTTGGTGGAAACGTCTGAATTTTCTAGTAAGAAATCTGAAAAGGGCTCAACATCGCTAAAGCTAAATTGTTGTGAATCAGCACAGAACGCACTCCACTGCACCTCCTTTACCCCGGCACTCTTAGATCCGCCACTTTGCTCCACAGATGAATCCGATGACCTGATCTCTGACTTCAACTCCGCGGGACTACCTGACCCAACTTCAGATGACAAAAGTGAAGATCCCACATCTGTAACCCTCTCCTCAGAAACCACGGTTTCAGCTTCACAAGCACGTAACAATAGATTCGAAGATTCCACAGAAGCCATCCACTCCACTCCCTCCTTTGGATTCTGAGAAGCTTGATTGGTTCTGTTCTCAAGCTCATCCTCTTCAACAGAAGAAACCCTAGTATCATCTGAATCCTCCAATTTCATTCTCTCATCTGCTACGCCCGTCTCCAAGAATGACCGGTCCACTTCAATAGATCCTTCGCGTAACCCCGTGTCACCGAACTCATCCTCCACCAGCCTATCGAAGAAATCCTCGTCCGTCTGATCCTCCACCGGGAGCATAGGAGGAGACGCCATGAAATCGAAAAAGGGTAACACCTAAGCTCAGAATTCGTCCAAAAACTCCACCAAAAAGAGCTGATCACCTTTGCACAACCCGCAAAACCTTCCTAGTTTTCAAAATCCAATCTCTCAGCAGATCTCCAACTCCATCCACCCAAAATAAATCTAGGGCTTCGCGATATTGCTCTAATCTGAAGCGAAAAAAATAAAAAATAGAGGAAAATCCGGTAATGATCAATCAGAAAATGGAGTCTTACCAGCGAAACAGTTACGATCAAAGATCAGAAGAAATAAAGCTCAGATCCATCAAGAAAATCCAAATTAAGAAGCAGCTAAACCCTCGATCTCGAAGCCGCCGACAATCGCCGACCCGCCAAGCCTCCAACTTTTCACACCCCCATCCCTTCTTTCCGTTGCCTCTGGCTTTTATTGCCCTCTCTTATTTTTTTCTTAAATAAAAAAAAAATTTACGGGAAGAAAGCGTGGGATCAGTAGATCATATAGTTTAATTTAATTCATTACAATTATATGTTTAGGCGTGCTATTTGCATTACTAATCCCCTGCTATTCGAGGTAAAATTGTTAAAACTTTCGGGTTCAAAAAAAAAAAGTGGGTCCCGCCTCTTTTGTCGGGTGGGATTTTGGGTGCAAAATGTGGTCGCGATAGAAATTTGACGTTAAATTCGACGTGATGTTCTGTTGACCATAGACGATATTTGTCCCTAGCGGATCCTGCGTATCTACTTGTCTTCAAGAGGAAGCGTGAGGTAAAAGAGAGCTATTTTAGAATAAATAAAATAATTTTTAAAAGCTAGGAGGTAATTAAAATTTTTATACTGAAAAAATATTATGAAAAATAGTAAGAAAATTGTCTCGAATGAAACTTTAATCTTACGCTAAAATGGAGTTCAACAAATGTATACATTATGTCATGGGCGGATCCTCATAGAGTCCACCCTAAAAAAAAAAATAACTATATAAAAGACAATTTTAAAATTTTGACCCCTCTAAAAAAATATTTTGCCCAAATTGTTGAAGATACTCATTGAATGATATATTTATCTTATAAAAAATGTAATTAAGGTACTTACTTTCTAGTTTTTATAAAAGTATGAGGTATGTTTTATCAAATGGAGAAAGAAATTATTATTGATTTATAAGTTGAGTTCGTGTCGCCTTGAATTTGACAATGCATGGATGAAAGAGTCATAGGGATACAAGCAACTTTAGGAAAGGATAGCTTTTATTTTTTTTCTTTTTGGATTTTTTCCCTATTCTTTTCTTCCATGGATATATGTGTTGGGCTCTTTGAAGCTTTTATATGCAAGTTGTCATGCATATTTTATGGTTTAATTGTCTTTTTTTTTTCTAAAATAGATAACTTTTAGCTAATTTATTTTTATTTTACTTTAAGTTAGAGAATTGGTTCGACATAACTTATATGATTAAACTCCAATTTATATTATTAAAATCAATATTTAAACACCAAAGTTTTTACGTGAAAACCCTCGAAAATGGAGAAAAATCATAGAGCATTGCCTAGTTTAAATGAATACATTAGTGTTTGCAGTTGATTACAAATTAGACATTCCTTGGGGAGAAGGTTTTGGCTCAATGTAGCAATATACATCATATAGAGTGCATTAAATGGTAAGAGTTGGAAGAATCAATGTTGACATGTTCGGTGGTCGGATGTAAGTTTGACGATAGTTGGTGTTCAGGTGGAATTCTAACGAAATTGTGATGACGGTAGGTGGTCGGAAGGTGGTCGAGGAGGAGTCTAGTGGCAAGATAATTTTTTTATTCATCTTCATTTCCTTCATTCATTCTCTTCTTCACCTCTCAGTGAAGAATGAAATGTCTATTTATATTTTTATAGGAGTGGCATGGCCAATAAATAAGGAAAAAATTAAGGGTGTATAGGGAGTGTTTTGAATTGATAGTTGATATTAACTCCATTGATCATAGATCATTTAACAAGTATTTAAGTGCCTTAATGATGTCAAAATTCAGTAATCATGGGATCATTTAATTCATCTCGTCGAGCTGCTTTATTCGACTATAAGTATTTAAGTGCCTTAATGATGTCAAAATTCAGTAATCATGGGCTCAGTTGATTCATCTCGTCGAGCTGCTTTATTCGACATTATGATTTGACTTTTCAAATGTGCTTTAGGTCCTCGATTTTAACCAATTTGGGCTCGGATTGAGTCGAATTTGGTGTCGTTGGGTTCATATTTTTGAGACATTCATTTCGATTGTAAGTTTGCTGAAATCGGAGATTCGTGCCCAATTAAGATATTTAATTTCAGAAGTTTCAAACTCAAAAATGCCTTGAGATTCGTGCCCGATTAAGATAAAATATGTATGATATATCAACTACTATTATTTTATGTCCAAATTTGTCATAAGTAATTGTTGTTGTTAGTAGATATGTGTAAAAGTATAAGAACAATATATTATTAATCCCCATTTGTATTTTATTTATGAAATTCTTTTATGTATTGCGTGATTCTTATTCCATACTTTATAAGTGTAATTTTAGTATTAATAGATCTATTGTGGACTATAATTATAACATTTGCAGCGGTAGAGATATATAACGTTTAGCATTCATGCTTTGTACAAAGATCCAACACATTGACATATAAAAGAGGGGGGTGCAGTATCATATAGACACGAGAGTTTTTACGTGAAAATCCCTAAAAAGGGGGAAAAAGTCATAGGGGTTTGCACATTTGTAAAACTCACTAATATTTGGGGTTCATTACAAATGATGTAATTCCTCAGGGGAAGGCGTTGCCTCAGTGTAATAAATATACATCATATAAAGCACAATGCATAGTTGAAGTTGGAAGAGTTTGACGACGTGAGACTTGTTCTCAAGAGAGTGTTGCCCTGCTCGTTTGGTCAGTAGGATCATAGTCGGGTGATGGTGATCGAAGGGATCATATTTTGGTGCTAGAGGAATCGTAGTTGGCGAACGACAATATTCAAAGGTCAGAGGGACCATACTAGTTGAGTGAAGGTGCTCGGAGTGGACTATAGTTGGCAGACGACAGTGGTTGGAGGGACCGTAGACAGCGGGTGACGATGGTCGGAGGGACCGTAGCTGGAGAGCGACAAAGGTTGGAAGGACTATAGTTAACTAGCTATGGTGGTCGGAATGGACCATAGTCGGTAGGCAACGGTGGAAGGAGGGACTGTAGTGGGCTGGCGACGGAGGTCATAGAGACCGTAGTCGGCGGGCAAAACTGGTTAGAGGGACCATAGTTGTTGAGTGATGAAGGTATGAGATACCTTAGTTGGCAGGTGATGATGATTGGAGGGACTGTATTTGGCTGGCGTCGGAGGTCATAGGGATCGTAGTTGACGTGCGAAGGTGGTCGGAGGGCATGTAAACGGTAGTCGACGGAAGTTCGCAGACGGTGGAACTTGGGTGGAGCTCTAGATTTTTGAAGCCTCATAACTCTCTCCAATATCCATCAAAAGGCCCACTCCCCTACTCACGTGGGAAGAGAGTGTCTATTTATAGATTTTTGAGAGTGGCATGCCCCATAAATATGGATAAGAACTGGGGCAAATTCGGAGCACTCTATTAGATGACCCATATTGATCACCTAGATCATACAGCATATGTCAAGAATTCATGTGCCCAAATGATGTTAAAATTAAGTGATATTGGGCTCGTTGGATTTGTCTCGTTGAGTTGCTCAATTCAGCTATAAGCATGACATATTTGAATATCATTTGATCATCTACCTTATTCTTTCAATCTTCCAATTGTGTTTTGATCCCTTGATTTAGACCTATTTGGGCTCATATTTGACTGATTTTGATGTTGATGGGTTCATCTCTTTGAGACATTCGGTTTGACTGCAATTTTGCATAAATCAGAGTTTGGATGGTCCCAAATTTAATTTGGAAGTCTCTAACTTGGATATGCCCGAAGATTGCTCAGATTGGTGTCCAATTATGGTGATTTTGTGATGTATCAAAGATCTAATGTGGGGATTGTAACCTTGGGGGAACGATTCATTAAAAAAAGTACACATTTTAGATATCTTAGGATATATTTTTCAAGTGATGGTGAAATAGATATGAATATTATTAATATAATTTAAGTTAGGATAATTGAAGTTGAGGAATGCATCATGCATGTTGTGCGATAGAAAAGTTCCCATCAAAGTTAAGGGAAAATTCTGAAAATTCAAAGAATTGAAATGTTAGGCCCAATTTCGAGAATCACAACTAATATTTACAGGGATATAAGAGTGGCAACCCTATAGTGTAGGACTATTATTTTTACTTTTTTGACTTTATTATTTTTACATATATATTTATATTCATGTAATTAGGGTCTACAATTATATTGTGTGTGAACCTTCACTTTCATTTTATACATATTTCTTAATGAATATTTTTTTCTCATCTAACTTTTGTTTTAACTTATCAAAGATTTTCATGATACTCTTATATTAACTAAGTTTAAAAGGCTTTATTTTTCAAGGAAAATATGTAACATTGTGTGATTGAATCTAATGCTTAGACTGTCGATCTTTTATTCGAGGGAGAACTCACAAGAATAATTATGGTTGTCATGTGAAGGGTGTGCCATGCTTTGATAGTAATATTATATTTGTATATACTATAAGAAAATTGGGCACATCAAAAATGAATTTATAAGGTAAATAATAATAAGAAGGTTGTTGATAATCAGAAGATAAAATAAATTGAAAATTTTAGTGAAGTTGATACGACATAATATTACAATGATATAAAACTCTTAAGTGATTATGATAGTAACTCCATATATTGTAAGTTTTGGATTCTTGAATATGATTGTATACATATGTGCATTCAAAGGTGTTTGTTTTCAACATATGAAAATTGTGACTATGAGTGTGTGTTGATGGGAAATAATACATCTTACAAGTAGTTAGTGTTGGCATATTCAAAATCAACATGTTTAATGGAGCGATTAGAACACTTAGTAATGTCAAACATGTCTCAATTTTAACAGGGGTCTTATCTCTTGGAGTACTCTTGAATCAAATAAAAACTAGTACTATTGAAGGTGGAGTTATAAAGGACTGCAAAAGGTAATATTGTTGGAATGAAATGGCATAAGAAAATTGACAAGTTATATGTATTGTATGGTTATACCATTATAGGTTATACAATTAAAACTTATCTTCTTTGTCTAACGACGATGTTACTCGACTTTCGTATGTGCATCTTGGGCATATAAGCAAGAACATTATAGTTGAAATGATTAGAAAAGAACTTCTTTATGATAAAATGTTAATAAATTGAACTTTCATGAGCACTATAGTTTTTTAGAAGCAAAATAGAGTACGATTTAGAAAGGGAATTTATAATATAAAGGGAACATTTGATTGTATATAAAATGAACTATAGGAACCATCTAAGGTGCCTTCCAAGAGAGCTACTAATTATATGTCGATGACATTATATAATTTTTCTAGAAAAATTTGTCTTCTTAAAGTAAACTAGTGACGTGTTATCTATGTTGAAGGGTGATGACTATGGTTGAGAAGTGGACATGTAAGCTAGTTAAACATCTCCATGCTAATAATGACTTAGAGTTTGGTTCAAAAGAGTTTAATATTCTATGAAAGTCAAAAGGGATTGCTGAGGCATTAAAAATTCATCATACTCAACTACAAAAATGATGTAGCTAAGAGAATGAACAAGACTTTGAAGGAGAAAATATATTTTATGCTTTCTTATTCTTGATTACCTAAACCTTTTTGGGCTGAAATTTTCTCTACATTTTATTTTCTTGTTACTCGCTCTCCTTAATCCATTATTAACAAAAATAGCCCATGTAACATAAATTTGAAGAAATTTGAATGTCCATCTTATGCTTATTTAGATAATGAAAAGTTGGAACTAAGGCCTATAAAAATGTTATTATTTGCTATAAGTCCGAAGTAATTTGATGCAAGCTATGATGTATATAAAGCATAGAGATTATAATTAGTAGAGATGTTATTTTAATGAAATTGGCATGCTTCTTATCCCACCTCCTAGATATTCTTACAATGTGGATTAGCAAAAATCAAGTACACAAGTGGAAATTCAATTTGGGTTAGAATATACATTATGCTCTACATCTCAATTTAAAATATACAGGAATACAAAATGGTGCTACTCCTTCACAAGCGCTACCACCAAGATAGATTAAGAAGAGATGTTAGAGCTCCAGGCCGTCACAGAGAAGCTAATTTGATAGTTTATGCCTTAAATGAGATTGAAGGTATTGATTTTAATGAAAAACCTCCTACTTTATCGCATATAGTTAATTCTAATAATACAAGAAGATGGGTGATTGCTATGTAGGAAAAGAAGGAATCACTTCATAAGAACCTAAAAAGATTTTGTTAGATAGTATTAGAAATGTCATTTCTTATTAGATTTAAATAAAAAATTGACTCATAATATGACATAATGGAGAAAAAAGATTCATACAGCCAACATCATGTAGTGAGATAAAAGTTTATTGTCGTAAATTTAATTATACATATTTTAATTACATTTAATATAATTAACATAAATTTATGTTATTATAAATAATTTTTTTAATTAAATTGTCTACAATTTAAAATTTGATTTAAATATTTTAGTAAATTTGATTTTTATTTATTTTAAATTAACATGTAAACTAAATTTGAATTAAAAGATCTTATGTATGTAATATGCATAAATTTAATTTAAAACATTATTTTTATTTATTATGCAAGATTATGTAATAATAAAAATTATATATAATGAAAGAAAAAAAATGAAAAGTACTTTATAAATAGCAACCTCATATATGGAGAAAAAAATAGCAAAACGTTAATGGGCTCCTAGCACTTGGAAAGCCCAGCAGCTCTTCAAGCCATGCCTCATTATCTCACTTGCTTTGCTCTGAACTCCTATAATTTCTACCCTAATCTGCTCACAGGCCCGACATTATCGACGCCATGAAGAAGAAACGGAGGCCGGAGAGGCTGATCTCAGTTCTCATGGCCTCCGCCGCACCCCGCTGCCCTCAAAGCCTACCCCTCTTGCGTCCCCGCTTCGCTATATCCCAAAGTAACAAACCCTTCACGTCTTTCTTCTCGAATTGGTCCTCGTAACCGCCGCCTTTGTGGGCATGGCATTAAACATCCAGTTCGGCTGCGAGGTCACAAGAGTCGGCCACGTTTTGGCCGTGGTGAACGCACTTCTTAGAATCTTCATTGCCGATTTTGCTGAGTTTTGCTTTATTTTCGAGGGGGCTGGGGATTCTCTCAAGAATGCCATGGATTAGACCGGTGGCGCATCCATTGTTAAGTGAGCCATGGGCCCATGGAGGCTTCCTCTTTGGGATGCAGAGTTCTTTTCGTTGGAAAACAAAGTGGTCTTCTCCCTCCTGGAGGTTTCTGGTATGTGCAGCTCATCACATACTTTTCTAATGTTCTCTATCCATTCAGTTGCTGTTTAGTTAGAAATCATATTTTTAAAACGGGGGCTTTACGTTCATACGGCCTAATTCATATGTTTTAGATATTATATATAATTATATATATTTTTTACACCAACATAAAAAACTACTAACATCAAGTAATCTAAACTGAAATATACATTTTAATGTAATGTTATATAAGTAAATGAAAATAATTTTATATTAGATATACAAATACACATGGATTCAGCGGTTTGCATGTAATTCCCCTTTAAAATGTTGAATTTATAAATTCCATTATTTTATTTAATGAAACTAGAAATCAAATGGTGTTTGAACTACACAAACACCTTCAAAACTTCAAATGGTTTTGAAGTTAGAAATCATGTTTAAAAAATGAAATTGTTAAATTCATCATTTGGTTGGATGTAGTTAGATGCAAAAATTAATCTCGAATTCACAATCCTCCTAAAAAAGCTCACTAAAAAATGAGAAAATGTCACAATTAGGGGATGTTAGGTTTCCTGTATTACTAGCGTTACGGAAAGTAAATATAGGAGTATTGAAAATTCAAGCAATTCGATAGTTGCATTTCAAATGCAAATGTATTTTGGTAGTGCATTTATAAATCACTCTCTTGTTCATTTTGAATGTATTTGAAATTCGTCCCTTTTTAGCAAACTCTAAATACACAACTTGTGTAAAAAAGTGTTGTTGGTTGGTCGCCAGTGCCCGCTGAACACAACTTGCCTCCCATCACCGATCGTTGTCGGGTGCCACTACCTCCATAGCTCGCAGCTCTTGACGTTGACTATTTCTTATCGACTATTGTTCCAAATGCGCAATAATTTTATTTTGCATTCTTTTATTTCAACTAAATTAAAAATAATGAAATAATGTATTTTTAGTAAACTCAGCCAAACAATTCAATGTTATATTTAATATACTACTTTTAATTTTTAATATACTACTTTTACTTTACACTGAATTATTTTTATCGTGGTAGTCGGCGGAAGAAGGCATTGCAAAGGAACATAAATAAAACAGAGAAGCCAAAGCTTTTTCTAATAATTGTGGAAGAAGATGCATGATATGAATATTTTTGGAATTCCAACAATTTTTACCTTTTTGATCTCTCAGAGCCGTTTAGTTCTTGTTTTCTCTGGTTTCTTCAATGATCTTCCCACATCAGTTGATATCAGAGCCTACTTCGGCCCTTGACGTCGATCAGAGCCGCGAGCTTTTGACCAGGATGAAGGAAGCTACCTCAACCCTTGATGTTGATCGGGGTTTGGATGCTTTAGGGAAGGCCATGGATGAGGATAGATTATCAACGACGTTTGAAGCCTCCACAAGCCGACAATTATATCGACGATTCGACCTCCACCAACTAGCAACCTTACCGACTAATTGATCCCATACACCGGCAACCATATGATAAGAAATACTTGAGTTCGCAAGTAATCCTATCAGATCTACTTAGGTTTGCAAGCAAACCTAACAATAATCGGTAAAAACAACGAAAAAAATGTAGAAATCATTGTGGAAGAACAATCAACGATAGCAATGTCTTATAGAAAACCAAAGGAAACATACACAAAGCAAGATACAAGAGATCCTCGATTCGAGAGGATGATCGTCTCTCCCAAATCTCTAGACAAAAGAGACTAGAGCCCAAACGCCAAGAAACCCTAATTTTTAATCAAACAAAACATAATCCTTCCTAAATCTCCTTTACCTCTTAATACAAAAACTTTCATAAACTATTCTCCCTCCCAATACTTAGCCGCCCACTCCTCTTTGAAATTCAAAGCTATTTGGCAAGTGGGGCTCCACAATGTGGTCGGCCAAACCCAAGGGAGGCAGAACTTTTCCGCCTCCTATAAACATGAACCGACCCTTGGGCCGGTTTGGCCGATTCAGGGTGAATTGGTGGCACATCACCATACTGGCAAATCCACCTTTGCTCTGACCCTGCCCCATCTATCCGAGCTCGTTAGCACGCATTCCACTGCCTGATTTCATCCCCCTTGCGACCTCAGACTCGAGCCAATGCCCGCGTGTCCAACCCCCAAATCTTCGACCTCCTTTATTCACGCGCGTGACTGGCTCCGTAGCCCCACACGGGACCAGATCCGTGCAACTCAGATCTCGTGCATGGAAAACAAGGAAACTGATGTTTCACCCTCTCGAATGGCTCTCACGTGGCCTCGTAATCTAGGAGGTTCTTCCCCTTGATCAACACTTCCTTAGTTCCATTTTCTTTCTGGCGAACCCCCATTAGCTCTAAGGGTTTCAGAACCACCTCTAAATCCTCAATAAGTGTCGCCGGTAGCTCGGGGTTGGTTGTGTAGTCACGTATGACCTTCCTCAACTGCGAGACATGAAAAACCGGATATATAGTCGCCGATGGTGGTAATTTCAATCAATATGCTATTGCCCCAATTTTCTCCTGTTGACGACTGTCTTCTGTCTATATGGTCAGAGCTTCAAGAGCACCCTCTCCTCCACTTCAAACTGAATGTCCTTTCTATGCCCATCTGCTTGTTTCTTCATAATTTGTTGAGCTCTCAGTAGATGCCTCTTGAACTCCTCTAACACTCGGCCCCTCTCTTCCAAGTACTTATCTACTGAGAAACGGGAGTACTGCTACTCCCAAAGTGCACCAAGTGTGGGGGATCTCGTCCGTACAACACCTTGAATGGGTTCATCTATGAAGCAGAATGAAAAGATGTGTTGCACCAGTACTCAGCCCATGATAGCCACTTAGCCCATAGCTTGGATGTCTCTGACACAAAGCATCTCAAGTACGTCTCTAAGCTCCTATTGACTATTTCCGTCTGACCATCCGTCTGTGGGTGGTAAGTTGTGCTTCTCTTGAGAACTGTCCCATGTAATATGAACAACTCCCTCCAAAAGTGGCTGAGGAATACCTTATCCCTATCTAATACGATCGCCTTTGGTACTCCGTGTAGTCTGACCACCTCCCTGATGAAGGCTGATCCTACTATCACTACGGTGTAGGGGTGTTGGAGGGGAATGAAATGTGCATACTTGCTCAGCCTGTCCACCACCATTAAGATCACTGTGAACCCCTCTGAGTGGGGCAACCCATCTATGAAGTCCATAGATATCTCCTCTCACACTCTTTTCGGTAGAGCTAACGGCTGTAGTAATCCTCCTGGTGACATATCCAGGTATTTATTCCTTTGACAGATCTCACATATGGCTATCATCTCCTCTACATATTTATGCATCCCCTTCCCGCACAACTCCGCAGCTAGCCTCTTGTATGTCTTCTGTAAGCCTGAATAGCCCCCCACAACGCTTCCATGAAACTCATGGAGTAAGTTTGGGATGTGGATCGAGGTCTGGGGCATCACAAATCTCCCATGATATAGCAATTTATTTTCCTCCAATGAGTACCTTGGGTGGCTACCCTCTTCTTTCAGTAAATCTGACCTGATCTTTCCCAAACTTTCATCTCTAGTACTTTCTTCTCTGATGGACATACTGTCAAGCATAAAAGGAACAGATAGTGCCACTGCCTGCAGCTCTCCCATACATCTGGACAAGGCATCTGCCGCCTTGTTCTCCACCCCTGGCCTATATTGAATCTCAAAATTGTACTCAAGCAACTTGGACAACCACATTTGATGCTCCTCTGTCACCATTCGCTGTTCCAGCAGGTATTTCAAGCTCCGCTGATTTGTCCTGACAATGAAATGCCTCCCAAGTATGCGGGGTCGCCACTTTTGGATGGCCAAAATGATGGTCATTAATTCTCTCTCATAGACTGACTTCAGCCTGATTATTGCAGTCAATACCTGGCTGAAATAGGCAATGAGCCTACGACTCTACATAAGCACTGCACCCAGCTCGTATCCAGACGCATCTATCTCCACAATGAAGGTCTGAGTGAAATCTGGCAAAGCTAGGACTGGTACCGTAGTCATCGCCTTCTTCAAGCTCTCAAATGCTGATGTGACGCCCCCCCATATGAACCCGTCCTTCTTCAACTGCTTAGTGAGCGGTCATACTATGATGTTGTACCCCTTTACAAACCTTCTGTAGTACCCTGTCAGTCCTAGAAATCCCCTTAGCTCCTTCAGATTTTTTGGCACTGACTACTTTAGCATTGCCTCAATTTTGGACTGATTTGCTGCCACCCATTCTTTTGATACAACATGACTCAGGAACTCTACACTGACTTGTGCGAAGCAGCATTTCTTCAAGTTGGCCTTCAGCTGATGCTCCTGCAGCACCTCTAACACCCTTTTCAAATGCTCCCAGTGCTCCTCTGTCCTGCTGTAGACAAGGATGTCGTCGAAGAATACTAATACAAATCGTTTGAGATAAGGTTTGAAAACCTTATTCATAAGAGCCTGGAAAGTAGCAGGAGCATTAGTGAGGCCAAAAGGCATCACTAGGAACTCATAGTGTCCCTTATGGGTTCTAAAGGTCGTCTTAGGCACATCCTCCCTCTTCATATGGATCTGATGGTAACCTGATTTCAAGTCTATCTTGCTGAAGATCACTGTTCCACTCAATTCATCTAACAGCTTGTTAATGACTGGTATAGGAAACTTGTCAGGTATAAATTTCTAGCTGAGTGCTCTGTAGTCCACGCAAAAACGCCAGCTGTCATTCTTCTTTTTCACCAATAAAACCGGACTAGAGAAGGGGCTGATGCATGGTTTGATGATTTCTTCCTCCAACATCTCTCTAATCAACTTTTCGATTTCATCTTTCTAGAACTGAGGGTAGCGATAAGGTCGTACACTGATGGGTGGCACTCCCTCCCTTAAAATGATGGCATGCTCCTGCTCCCTCTGCGGTGGCAATCCCTGAGGTGGCTGAAACACCTCTTGGAACTGCTGAATCAATAGATGAATGGAGAGGGGTATGTCCCCTCCCTCCTCCAATGTCGCTCTCTCCAAACTGTGCAACTCCACTAAATACCCTCTGTCAGCCAACTCT